ATCAGTCAAGTATTACATTCATAATGAAAGCTGGCTGCAACGAATTTCCAACAATCTCTATCTTGCACTTGGTTGTACACTCTGTCAGACTGATGTTTGTCCATATCTTGATGTTGTCATCTCCCTTGTGTTGTTGTCTACCTCCTGCTTACTTACCTTCGACATATCCCCCCACTTTGATTTTAAAAGAGTGTTGTGTCTCTTAATGTGCTCAAAATAATTCACTTGTCTTTGTTACCATTTTCTTTGAGCAACTCTGTTTCAAAGGGTAACTTGTACGTGGAATTTTGTTATCATCCCTTTCTTCCTTTCTTTCTTCTGTCCTGTCTTTAGTTATTTATTTTGTGATTCTTTCTTTCTTTCTTTCTTTCTTTCTTTCTTTCTTTCTTTCTTTCTTTTTCTTTCTTTCTTTCTTTCTTTCTTTCTTTCTTTCTGGCTTTCTTTCTTTACTTCTTTCCTCCTGCTCCGTCTCTTCTTCCTCCTCCTACTCCTCCTCCTTCTTCTTCTTCTTCTTCTTCTTCTTCTTCTTCTTCTTCTTCTTCTTCTTCTTCTTCTTCTTCTTCTTCTTCTTCTTCTTCTTCTTCTTCTTCTTTCTTCTTCTTCTTCTTCTTCTTCTTCTTCTTCTTCTTCTTCTTCTTCTTTCTTTCTTTCTTTCTTTCTTTCTTTCTGTCTTTCTTTCTTTCCCTCTTTCTTTCTTCCCTTCCTTTCTCTGTCTTTTTCTTCTTCTTCTTCTTCTTCTTCTTCTTCTTCTTCTTCTTCTTCTTCTTCTTCTTCTTCTTCTTCTTCTTCTTCTTCTTCTTCTTCTTCTTTTGAGCGTTTGTCTGCAAAGCACAGGTCATACTTGTTGTGGCTTTACAGTATGGCTACGATATTTGCGCACTTCGGCAAAACGTATCCACTTTCAGCAAAACTGTAATTAGTCGAGTCTAACTTGATACGTGGTGAGGATAGTTTGTCTCTTCTCGCCCCCATACACCCCCCCCCCCCCCCATATGCCGAATACGCGTGAAGGCGTTGAAAAGGACCGTTTCTTGACTTTTGACTAGTTTCTGTGCTACATCTAACAGGTGACGCAACAGAACTTTTACCCCCAGAAACAGTGGATCATCGATGAGAGCCATATGGCCAGTACCTACACAATGCTCATAGTTTTCAGAGACTGCGAGACTGTGGTCAACTCCACGATGGACAAGTGTAGGGATCTGGCTGACCGCTCCTTGCTGGAGGTGTCAGTTTTTGGTGGATTTGGTGCCTGCATCGATGACATGATGACCAGGTGTGACGACTTTCTGTTTAGTAGTTTAGAGGTAAGTTCCCTTTGGTTGGGTTGGGTTTGGTTGCTCTTTTGGGTTTTTGGTTAGTTAGCTGGGTTTTTTTTTTTTGAAATTAAATGATTGAATTTTTGTTTACTGAATGTCTTTAGTGATTGTATAGAAACTTTTGTAAGCATACAAATATTATATATATTGTGTGTGTGTTTGTGTGTGTGTGTGTCTGTTTAGTGATTGTTTGTATAGAAACTTTTGAATACATACAAATATTATATATTGTGTATGTGTGTGTGTTTAGTAATTATTTGTAGAGAAACTTTTGTATGCATACAAATATCATATACTGTGTATGTGTTAGCGTGTGTGTGTGTGTTTGTGTGTGTGTGTGTGTGTGTGTGTGTGTGTGTGTTTAGTGATTATATAGAAACTTTTGTATGCATGCAAATATCATATACTGTGTATGTGTGAGCGTGTGTGTGTGTGTGTGTGTGTGTGTTTAGTGATTATATAGAAACTTTTGTATGCATGCAAATATCATATACTGTGTATGTGTGAGCGTGTGTGTGTGTTTAGTGATTATATAGAAACTTGTGTATGCATGCAAATATCTTCTTCTTCTTGTTCACCGGCTGTGAATTCCGGCGGTAAGTCGCGGTTGTTCGTCCAAAATGGACTTTTGGCTTTTACCTTGACCTGAGTTTTGCGTGTACATCCGTTTTACTGGCTTATTTGTTTGCAGTACTCGTTCCCCGCCTCTCCGGCAGATGTACTCCGACTTCGGAGGAAGCATGCAAATATCATATACTGTGTATGTGTGAACATATGTGTGTGTGTGTGTGTGTGTGTGTGTGTGTGTTTTGAGTGTGCGTGGGCCAGACTTAAAAAAAAAACTTGGCTCTCAGGTCGATCCGGCCTTGAGTGTGTACCAGGTACCGTAGTGAGAAGTAAAGGCGGCCGGCGTGATCAAGACCACATCACTCACTAGGTGCCTTTTAGTCTATTAAAAAAAATCTAGCCCTATATACCCAATACGCTTAAAGGCGTGGAAAAGGGTCCTTTACTTACTTTACCAGATCTTTTTAGGGGCCAGTATGTCTATTCCTCCGATCCACACCAATAGGACCCCACAACCCACATGGGGAAGATATGTACAGAATCAGAATGCAATAGAGATTGTCAACAGTCAGTATTCCAGCATCTACTGAGAAAGATGGGTGCTTACTAGCCTGTCCTATGCAGGGCTGCCGAAGTTGGTACTTTCGTACAAAATTGGTACTATTTGAGTCTTGCCGAGAAAAACTGTAGTTTTGGTACCACACCCCATGTCTTGGTACGGTTTAGAAATTGTGCATCAGTATTTAAAATTTGTGCATTGTGATGTAACTGTTGATGTAAATGTACCATTTGACTAGATTGGTCACGTGCGCTTTAAATTCAGTTTCAAAGACAAGGTTAAGAAGGAAAGTAATTAACAGTTCCCGATCAACCACTTGATGCCAAAAAACACCAGCAAAATGTGTGTTTACAATTCCAGAAGAAAAATGTGATGAAAATAACTTTCCACATTAGTATAATAAATTATTCTTTTTTTTTTTTTTCATTACCTCATTCCTCTGCATCTGCAGAAATGATTTTCACTTTGTTTGAAAACATTAAGATAAGAAATCGCTCTTGTTTCAAGACTTCAACAAGAAGTACATCGATTTGATCACACTGCTGCTCCAGGACATTAATTTCACCAACTGGATGCCGCCCCAACAGCTTTGTTATAAACAAAGCTTTTTCGTATCTTTTCATAATAAATGTGGTACTATCTCAAAACAATTTCGGCAGCCCTGGTCCTAGGGACTGTGACAGACACCTGGTGTAACTAAGCTCATCAATTTTCCTACAATATCTTGTAGGTGTGCTCGGACTTCAGGACCAATGCACAGAAAGCTCCTAATGTTCTTATGGTGGATTTTCCGGCGGTGACTCCGCCACACCGGAATGTTGTGGCCGCAGTTCGGCAACAGAACGCCAGAAATCTGCTAGCGTTTCAAAACAAATGTCGGGTGAGACTGGACGCGGCAACTAACATAAACATGGGAAGTAGCTCTGCTTTCTTTACAGGCAACAGGTTTGGTTTCTTTTCTTATTTGTAAACATTTATGTGTATAATTACTTATTGAACCCTTATTTCTCTTCTTTTCATTTTTGGGACAAAATTCTCTATAAGACTCTTCCCCTTCTTCGTGTTCACCGGCTGTAAACTTCGACAGAAAGCCTTGGTTGTTCGTTCACTTCTGGAACTTGGTCGTGTTCCAGAACTTGAGTTTTGCGTGAACATCCGTTTTACAGTCTTACTTACTTGCTGCAACAGTGCCTCCCCTACCTAATGTGCAGCTTCTTATCTCGGACAGGTGTGCATGCGCACAACAGCCAAACACATGTTGCTAGAACGCAAAGGTGGAGTCCCTTATACAAGCAATTTTTTTTTTCACGAACTAAAATTGTATGCTGACATTAAATCTAATGTTATATGGTGTACAAGATAAAGAAAGAAGGCAATAAAAAGAAGGGGGTGGGGGGGGGGAGACTTTATTTTCAATGTCATTGATCACATCTAGTCGGGTAAAACGGGTTGGGGGGTAATGTAGTTTAGCTATGTCTGCACAGGAGCCGCCGATTATCTAGGACGACTTGGCGTGAGTTGGTTGAGGGCCTATGCTCCATTGGGGGATAAAAAGGCAGAAGAAGAAATATGAACCTTAATCAATAAAAGATCAAGACTGTGTGACAATAAATACACCTTTACAATATAACAGATCGAATTTCCTTATTTATTTAGTAATATTGTTAGTCAATAAAAAACAAAGAAAGAAAGTATAATACATATTGGCAAACCATCAGTAGCATTCAAAAGTTTGAACGAAAAATGGAACTCTAAATTAAATAGTTTTCGAACCAAACTACGTATTTTCAATTCTAATGTTATGTCAGTTTTAACTTACGTCAGTGACAATCGGAGAACAGCTAAATCTAGGGTTCGAAATGTAAATACATTCTAAAAAAAATTTCTGAGGCAGTTTCTTGTTTCTACATGTTGTATTATTTCAATTGAGTGTTCGTATTTGTTTTACAATTTAGCCTATTATTATTATTATATTATTATTATTATTATTATTATTATTATTATTATTATTATTATTATTAATAATATTATTATTAATATCTGGTTTTCAACTATTTCGTTACTAGAAGTTCCACAGGAGACACCAAAGCGAATAAATTACCATAATGAAAAATCCCTCACGTCTTACGTTCAAAGTGGCAATCTACACAATGATAATTACCATGATGAAAAATCCCTCACGTCTTACGTTCAAAGTGGCAATCTACACAATGATAGTTACCGTTGGGAAAGCCAGATTTCTACTGTTTTTTTTTTTTTTTTAGCCAATTAAACATGCAAGACTGACTGACCTTCTACCCCACCAGGACATCACACAAGCGACAAACACCCGATGACACAGAGTGCCACCATGTAGATGAGGATCGCTGTGGAGAGGTCCCAGAAACCGCGTTCAGACAATATGCCACATCATGGCTTGCCTTTATTGCGGCCCCTGGCAAAAGCCAGGGTGGGGCTTCAAATAACAAAAAATTTCGTCCTAAAAAGGACGAAACACCTGTATTAACATGCAAGAGCGATGGTGAGATGGAGCAAGGGGTGGAGTGGGAAGGGTGATGCTGGAAGCAAAAGGTTTTTTTTTTTTTTTTGAAGTATGTACTGGTGTCATGGTTTTTACTAGCACCATAATTAACAAAGCATTGCTGAATTCATATATTCACAGAGCCCTACATTACAGCGAAAAGGATTGGGCTCAGAAAAGCGTCAACACCATGGCCTCTCTCAGCCCTGATCTGCCTTCCACCATCGACAGCGCCATCTCTGGGCGGTACTGGGGCCGTAACAACCAGACGTACTTTTTCAAGGGGTGTAACTACTGGATTCTAGACAATGGAGTGGCTTCTGGACCGTCTGTCACCAACGAAACTTTCCCCGGCCTGGAGTGTGATATACAAGCGGCTGTAGGCATTGACAGCACTGCTTACTTTTTCAAAGGTTATACCACATTTTATACATAATCCAGGTGTGTTGGGAAATTAATACGCTGACACACTGGCTGGTGCCGCAGTTTAAAAAAAAAAGAGGAAAAGGTGGGGGTGTAGAGGAAGGGGTTGATACATGAGAAGCTATATTTGGTAGTGGTGATCTATGAAGAAAGCGAACAATGCGGAAGCGAGTATAGATTATCACTGTGTGGACAGGAAAGAATGATGCAAAGGGCAAAGACCAGTGGTTCGGGCTGACAAACTACGCGCAGAGGAATGACACAACGGGATATATAAACTACTACCGGTACAATCGGCACAGGAACACTCTTCGCTGGCTTTTTAAGAGGGGGTCGGAGCGCTTATGGGATTGACCCTACTGCTGTGATGTCGGATCTTAATCAGCTTATTTCATACATAAAGCTCTTAAATAAGTTCCTTTCCTCGCCCAATATTCTCAAAGATGCACACATCTCTAACTGCATCTTCTGCTTGCGCCATCCAAGACCTTTCTTGTTTCAGTCTGTGACCTTTAGCGCTGTCTAGGACAGCGGTTCCAAACCTGCCGGCCGCGACCCTTCTTTTTAGGTCGAACGAACCTTTCACAGGGGTCGCCTAAGACCATCGAAAAACACACATTTGTCAAAATTATGGAGGAAAATAATTGTTTAGGTGTCGCCACAACGTGAGGGAACTGTATTAATGGGTCGTGGAATTAGGAAGGATGAGAGCCACTGGTCTATGGCTTTATACAGGAGGTGTTCTTGTCTGAGGCGACTCTGAGATATGACTTTGCTTGCAGCACTTCGAGCCTATCTGTAATAGTCGGTAATACAAGTATATATCGCATACACACAACTTAGGTTGTGTGTGTAAGAGAGAGAGTGTGTGTGTGTGTGCGTGTGTGCGTGTAAGTGAGTGTGTTTACAGAGTACTGCTGATGTAGCCATTACTGATGCCCTAGCTCCTAAGGTCGTTGGTTCAAATCCGAACCCCGTGTGGGTACTGGGGCCCCATTAAAGGGAAAACAAGAACAAATCCACTGTTTCCGCAAAACAGCCTGTCGTAGTGGTTGATTAATTATAAATGTTTCTTTCAAAATCAGAGTAAATCTGCCTGAGACGCAAGGAACCAAGTGTCTGCATACAAATAACCCAGATGCGTGAAACAGATGTGCACGCAACTCTGAAGTTCAGGAGCAAGACTAATGCTTGGAAGTGGACGAACACACTGGAATTTCTCCTGGAGTTTACAGCCGGTGAAGGCGAAAAAGAAATCCGAACAGTGCTGGACTTTTTTTAACCAGCCTTAAATAGGTACCAGGAAGAATCCCGGGGAGTAAAGGTGACCCCGTCATCCACCGAGTGCTAGCCTGGGGGCATGGACAATAAATCCTTTCTTAAAAGCGTCCATAAAGTAACGGAAACTTTCCTTGTATTGGCTCTGAGGCCCCGTTGTAGGGGAAACAAGAATAGACTCTGCCTCCTTAACAAGCGTGTCGTAAAATTCAACTAATTAGGGGCGTACTTTGAAGTCTACATACAAATAAGCCAGACCCTGCAAAGCGGTTGGGCACGCAATACGCGGTTCTGGCACAATACTTAAGTCCGAATGTGGAACAACCAGAACTGTCTGCCGGAGTTTGCATCTAGTGAATGCGAAGAAGATGCTAACTCTTCTGCTACTATGAAAAAAGAAGGACTATACCATTTACTGGTTTTCAAATTTCATATTTTTCTTTACACTCATTTCCATGTTGCTAAATACAGTTTTGCAGTACAGCTATTCTCTTTTCAATTCTACTTATAGGATGCAATTACTGGAAATACAAACGAAGCTCGAACGTTGACGGACCCAATTCAATAGATTTCGATTTCCCGGGACTTCCGTGTAACATCGACGCAGCCTTGAACCTCAACGACACGGTCTATTTCTTCCAGAACAACAACAGTAGCGGCACCTACTGGAGATATAAATATTTTGAACTCTCCCAGGGGGAAAGTATTCTTGATTGGAATATTGATCCCGTAGTTTGTGAGGATTAGTTTCAAGTAGTTTATTTGATGTCGAAGTATTGATCAAGAGTGATTCTGACCACATCACCTATCTTGTGCCGATTGGTCTGTAAAATATAGATCTAGCCCTATATGCCCTATACGCCTAAAGGAAAAGGGTCCTTTACTTTACTTTTTTACTTATGATCAAGTTATTTGTGAGTATTAGTATGAATTCGTTTTCCATCGAAATAATACTTGGATACATTGTGAGGCTCAGAATAAACTATTATTATTTTTCTTTTATTTATTTATTGGAATATTAATTCAGTATTTTGTGGCGGTTACATTTTGTGTATCGGATTACTGATCCTATCAGGTACGAGGTTTACATGTTTTTATGAATACTGATCCAGTCATCTGTGACAATAATTGTCAACTATTTGTTGCTTGACTAAAATATGGATTACTTTTTTATAAAAATTGTGTGAGTTATTTCTCGTTTTATTAGAATTTTCATTTATCTTTTGAGAGACTTAGTGTAAACAGTTTCCTGTTCAATGTGAAAATTGATTTATATTTTATGAGAATTACAGTAAATTGTTCCTTGTTACTGTAAAATATTGATTGATTTATTTTAAACAATTAGTATAAACTTTTTATGTTCAATTGTCAAAACCCATCGATGCAACTAACTGTAAGAGTTGGATTCGTGTGTTTTTTATCCATTGTTTCCACCACCCCCCCCCCCCTCTTTTCTACAGAAATATTGATTGAGTACGTTGTCAGGACTGGTATATATAATTGTTTTTGTTTTGTTTTTGTGTCTAATTTTTTTTTTTTTTTTAAAGGATCATTGTGTATTTGGTGAGCTATTTTATATTGTTCTTTTTACCGCCACTATTAAAGTACAGTAGCCAGCCTTTTTCATTTTAGAATTCGTCCCCCCCCCCCCCCCCCCCCCCCCCCCCCCTTTTTTTTTTTCCTTTTTTTTTTTTTTTACAAATGACAACTCACCTTTTTGTTTTTTTGTTTTTTGTTTTTTGTTTGGTAATAATAAAAATACACTGTCAGTTTTAACTTGCCTTATTTCATGTTTGTTACCTTGCATTGAATATTTTAAAAAAAAAAATATATGAAATTATACAGTGAAATATTTATAAGAAGCCAAAATGTGCAAAAGACATGTCCAGATAGTATTGTGACAAGAAACAAGCTGGGAAGAAACCCGGGCTAAACTGGGAAAGGGGCCAGGTCTAAACTGGGGAAGGGCCCAGGGCTAAACTGCATAGAGATACAACAGAAGACCGCCTCCACCTCCATTCTTAAGCTGGATGTTGTGGTATCCTATGCTAGGCTCTCGATTAGAGGAGCTGCTGGAGAAACAAGAATAGATGGAGTTATACATCAAGGAATTAAAAGATACTTTGTTGAGACTGAAACCATTCCTACAGTTGACTAAAGAGCAACACATTAGATGACATAACCCCATCTGACAAGAATGCCCTGGTACCAACTGTCACAGAACAAGCAGAAGGAAACGTAAACTATGGAATGACCGCATCAAGAATAACCAACCTCAAAGAAATAGAGACACATTTATAAAACGAATTATAAAAACCACATAGAGGGTTTTTATATCTTTCTGCAACACATCAATGAGGTAACTGAAAGAGAACAACAACAACAACAACAACAAAAAAAGAATTTTTGTCAAATCAAAGCTGTAAAATTAACACCTGTGAAATGAGATGTCTGAGAAATGTGGCCAATCTGACCATTTGGGACAAAAGTAGAAATGATATTATCAGACAGACTGTAGGAAGAACGTCATACAGCCCGTTCATTAAGAACAGAAGATACATTTATGATGAGATGATGAAATAAAATGGTTTTGGTTATCTAGTTAGAAAGCAGCCAAATAAATTTCTAACGCATTCGCTACACATGACAAGAACTTGAGTTAAACAAGAGTCCGCTCTAGGAGAACATAGATTGATGACATTTTAGAGCTTTTACATCGACACGCAATGAAGACACTCTGCGCTGGCTGCTGAAGATGAGGACGGAACGTGCATGGGAATGGCCCGAGTTCGGTGATGTCAATTCTTGACTCAACTCATCTCAGCTCAACTCAACTGAAGTAAGCATTGTTAAACATCAAGCAATGGATCGCAAACTGTTTCTTCCAACAACGCCTAACGGCAAAAGTAAAAACTGATGATGAAGAAACCTGGAATGACGTCGTCAAAAATTGTCTTTCTTTTTTAGCTAGTAAAACGAATTCATGTCCACGAATAGGTCAGTGAGGTCAAGATGGCAATTTCTTATCACTGCATTTGTGCCCTGGTGATAAGTTGCGATCACTTTATGTGTGTACAGATAATAATTCTTGATTGTGTTATTTATGATCTAACGATAATTCACGGTCGCTTTATTCATAAGCATGTATATGACTTTAATTCATAGCTGCGTCAAACATTTGTTACTGATAATTTACCGTCACGTCAAGCCATTTACGTTGAGGTTAGATTTGTTGATCAAGTTTTAAAAGTTGATATTTTGTTATTGCATTAAGTAAGGTTCTCCAGATGGGTGTATCGGACGCTGGACATCTTGCTTGTGATCGAGAAGTTGTCCAGAGGGTTGTAATGGGAGAAAGGTTCTGAAAAAATGTTGAATGTTGATTTAAGAATCGACATCACAGCACTGCCCCTCACCCCATAAGTGCTCCATCCCCATCTTCAGCAGCAAGCGAAGAGTTCTAATTCCGATGGCACCAGTAACCGTCTGATTGTATATCCGTCTCATCCTTTCTCTGAGTGTTGAGCGCCGGCCAGATCCCCTGGTAACTCATTGCAGCACCATTCTTCTCAGACTATAATGATCTATCTGCACCTCCGCACTGTTCACTCTTTCCCAAAGGGCCCTCACAACGCCTGCCTTGTCATACATCAGGTTCCTTAACACACCAGCATACCTGGAAAAAATTTCCAAAAGAGGCTAACTACTGATGCTTGCCACTCTACACGTAGCATGCCTGTCTTCACCTTTCTCAGTATGCTCTCTGAATCAGTTACAATCACGAAATGTGTGTACAGCTGGTTCTAAAACCAGCGGGAGGCAGCAGAGACTGCCTCCACCTCCATTCTCAAACTAGACATTGTGATATCATATACAAGTCTTTGCTTCACTAAGCGACATCCATTGGCCTTAGCTATGAACACCCATGCATTTCGTCTGTCCATCAACACAGAGCCATCTGTATAGATAATCACACCACCCAGGCGCGAATTGTCATGAATAATTTGTTGAACTTTTGATCTCCTCTGTCTTTAGCTTGCGCCATCCAAGACCTTCCTCTGTTCAGTCTGTGACCTTAAGCTCCACCTAGGGCTTCTTGCAGGAGGTGCTTCTTGTCTGCAGCTACTCAGAGATATGATTTTGCCTGCAATTTGTTATCGCCTTCAGTAACAATATTTACAGATCTACAAAAGCAATATGTTATAGACCTTCAGTAACAATATGTCATATATCTTCAAAAGCAATATGTTATAGATCTTCAGGAAAAATATGTCATCGATCTACAAACACAATATGTTACAGAACTTCAGTGAAAATATGTCACATATCTACAAAAGCAATATGTTATAGACCAAGTAACAATGTATCACAGATCTTCACTAACAATACGTCACAGATCTAAGATAAAATTGTGACACAGAACTACAGTAGCGAATTCTCACCATCATTTTACAGAACCGACAAAATAAAACATTAAATAAATATAGCAATAGTTGTATACACCATATATATATATATATATATATATATATATATATATATATATATATATATATATATATATATATATATATATGATCAGACCTGCAAATCTATATTCTCATAGAAAAACCTCATTAACCTTTACACTCTCATCGCGCCCCACAATTAGCCACCATATTATTATAATTTATATAATTCTTCTACTTCGGCTAAAATCTAGGTCCGAACATTGAAGTTATCACCATGAGACTTGCTTTAAGAAATCTGGCCACCTGGTTGATTGCCTATAATACCATCAGCTCTGCCGCCCTCACCACAAGTCACGTCCCGGAAGTGGACAGTCTGAAGGCCGCCATGGTCAGTGGGGATGGACAATATCTCTACCTGTTCAAAGGAAATAACGTCATACAAGTGTCTTTAAAGTATAAATCAGAAGGTCATCTTGTGGTAAGGAATTTCAGACTTATTTGCACAATTTTCTCCATTCTAAATTAGAACAGTCTGAAGTCTAAAAGATCTACTTACTTGTATGCCAGTTTTCTTGGCCAGTCTGGTTGGATTGCTTAGTACGATTTGAGAACCTCACATAATGTTCAAAGCCGTAGTTTCATTAACGATCTTTCTTTGGACTGGACTTATGAGCCGAACGACGCTGCCAGTTTCGCGATCTTTGGAGCACAGGGCAAACGATTCAACCATTTATCCATGGAGCCACCCCTTCTTATAACATTTAAACAACAAAACTGTCACAAAGAACAGACTACAATTTTTTGCCTCTTGTATAATCGGCTAAACACTATGATAAATTAGTTAGCTAGTACCTCTTCGTCCTTCCAGACAATATTGTTGTATTGTGTTATAAGGACTCACAGCCTATGGCGCTGGCGACGATGGCTAGCAAGACACGCCAGCGTTAAGAAAAAGTCTCTCACAGCTAGAGCATGAGATTTCAGGACCGTTGTTGCTCTCACGTGTAGTTAGTGTATTACTGTGAAATATACCAGGTATTAAAGTGTCCAGTTTGTTGTTTATGCCTTGCTTCTTCAAGTTTTGAAACAATTTCCCCTCTTCTCATTCTGCGCTCATTCTGCGCTCATTCTGCGCCCATTCTGCATACATTCCTCGCCCATTTTGAGTCCATTCTGCGCACATTTAGCGACCATTCTGGGCACATTCTGCGCCCATTCTGCGCTCACTCTGCGCCCATTCTGCATACATTCTGCGCCCATTTTGAGTCCATTCTGCGCACATTTAGCGTCCATTCTGAGCACATTCTGCGCCCACTCTGCATACATTCTGCGCCCATTTTTAGTCATTTCTGCGCACATTCTGCTTCCATTCTGCGCACATTCTGCGCCCATTCTGCATACATTCTGCGCCCATTTTTAGTCATTTCTGCGCACATTCTGCTCCCATTCTGCGCACATTCTGCGCCCATTTTTAGTAATTTCTGCGCACATTCTGCTCCCATTCTGCGCCCATTAGATCGTTAAGCAAATAGTAAAAGGTCAAGGACCCTTTCCCACGCGTTTAGGCGCACTGGATACATAGAGCTAGACCTTTCTTTTATAGACCAATCGGCACTCGATGGGTGATGATGTCAACATCACGCTGGTCGCCTTTACTTCCTATGACTTTACCTAGTACCCATTTAAGACCGTGTCGTCCTGGGAGAAAAGAAATAAATGGAAAAAGTCGGCTTGGGGAGCATCTTCACAGATGATGGAAGAATTGATAGGGAACTTGAGGCAAGATGTCAAAAGGCGAACGCAGTAACTTACCAACTCTCCCCACTGCTAAAACACCCAAGCATCACTATGGCACTAAAACGACAACTGATAAATTGCATGTTTATACCATCCCTCTGCTACCAATGCCAAACCTGGTCCCTAACAAGAGCACAGGAGAAAAAGATCACGACGTGCGAAATGAGATGTTTACGTAAGGCTGCCAATGTCACAAGGAGAGACAGAGTTCGAAACGAGAACATTAGATCAGTTGTAGGAACCACACCATGCCTGCAATACATAAAGAAGCAACAAATAGAGTGGTTTGGCCACTTGATGCGAATGCTAACCGACCAACTGCCTCTACGAGCATACAACGAACAACACTACTGCCCTAGAGCAAGAGGCAGACCGAGAGTACGATGGATAGACAATATATCAGAGATCCTGAGGCAACACGGACTAACAACAACACGTGCAACACACCTGGCCCAGGATAGAAAACTGCGACTCCCCACTACGCTGTGAGGCAATTGTGGACAAGACAAGACAAGTCGGCTTCCGCCAAGATCTGAACCCACGACGCTACGCCACGACGGCTCCCTTTGAGCATTTGATGTTCGATCAATATTTGTATACACCATCCGAGTCTTGAAGAGTGGGGGCTCCCCGTATGGGTTCCAGGGCTTCATGTGGAGGGATAAGAATAGACCCACTGCCTGCCTTTCAAGTATGTCGTAAAAGGCGACTAATTGGGGATTTTTTTTTCTGAAGTGGGGTGCATCTGCAAGCGAGACGATGAAGCAACAGTCTACCTTCAGATTAGCAGATCTGTAAAACGGATGCGCACGCAAAATTCAAGTTCTCGTATAAGACTAAAGTGCAGAAGTGGACGAACAGCCAAAACATTCAGCAGGGGTTTACAGTCGTAAACGTGAAGAAGAAGAGTGCCCATGTTTTCTCCTCCTTCTCTCTCTCCTCCTCCACCTCTTCTCCACCACCCTCTTAAAAGGGCGATAGCACATTTGTAGCAGTTTTGCTTAAAGGACCCACAGGTTGTTCTCTCTTGATCAGACAGGGGTATGGACAAGCTATTAATGTCTGTATGGTTGCGTAAAGTTGCGAAGTAACAGATCTTCGTGTTCACTTTCATAAGCTATAAACTAGAGAAAAGTTCTGTGTTTCGTCTATTTCCGGACTGTGGTCTTATTCCAGAACCTGAGTATTGCATGCACACCCGTTTAACAGATCTAGCTTATTTGAACACAGCCCACTGGTCCCTTGGCTCTCAGGCAGATTAACTTTGACTTCAAAGAAAGCTTCCAATTAGTCAACTCTTACCACATGCTTTTAGGTCTACTCTCATTCCCCTTCCTTCCCCCCCCCCCTCCCCCACAGCGTTTGAGTTATTTTGTTTGCCCGCACTTGTTCAAGCAAGCAGAACAAACATTTTTCAATTAACTAACCTAAATTAGCAACAGTTATCTGAAGTCTAAAATAATCTCATATTTCTCTGAACTTCAGTGCCATAGCTTTTTGTAATCCATCCTAGTTTAAAAAGCAAAGACTGGTTAAATGATTTCTGGCCTAATGTAATAAGTTCGTGCGGCGTCCGTGGCTTAGGTGTGTCTGACTCATAATTCAAACATATCGCAATTAAAACCCACTGCTGGCTGCGTGGATTTGTATCATGGAATGGGGCGGCGCAGGTCGACCCAAAATAAAATCGGTACCAGGAAGTATGTCCTGGGGAAGTAGAGACGGCCGGCGTAATGCTGACCACATTATCCACTCTGTATCGACTGGTCTGTAAAAATATGGGTGATCTTCACATATGTCCGATGCGCCTAAGGCGTGAAAAGGGATCTTTATCTTTTAGTAGTTGTTCGTGTTATTGTCTTTGTATATTCCAATTAAGCGTGAGCGCTTTTTTTTCTCCTATTAAAACAAGCTTTGTTGAAACAGTGTGTTCCCAGGATTAGACATAGGGGTCCCCAGAGTGCATTCTAGGCCGACACTGAAACACGTGTTGTGGTTTACAGCTAGACTGTATTAACTGTGTCGTTCAGGCTCATATACAAAATTTCAACAAAGCTAAAATGTGTTGTTCAAAAACAACAACAACAAACAAAAAAAAAAAAAAAAAAAAAAAAAAAAAAAGACTATGCTGTCTCCACACTGACAGTTGGCTACAGTGGACCCCTGTTGTCTTTGTGAATATTACATTGTAAGGTCCGAATCTCTTCTATAGTCGGACTCTCATGCCATTTTCCGAAAACCTTCAGAGCGGTTTTGTAAACATTCCACTGCGGAGAACAGAACCTAGTGCTCAAGGATCAGGAAAGGTTTATCCTCTTTTGCTAAACTCTAATCCACGGAGCTTTTTACGACATGCTTTGTGATGCGCAGTAGGACCAACCCTTTGACCGCACATAATTTTTTTTTAAACCATGCCTAAGTTTCACAATTACTTTCTCGGTATGGACTGACATTTTTGGGTAAGTATTTTGGGTTTTAATCTTGCTTGTGCCTGCGTAAGCACAGCTTTCCATTACAAGCTGGAGGTAGCAACCATTCAATTAACAAACAAACAGTATTGTATTCATTGATACTATCTTCCCTCAAACGTTGAATTTCTCAAATCTAACAGGATGCGGCCATGGTGTGGCCTGGTCTTGACACACACGTAGATGCTATTATTGTCGTGGGTTCTGTTTATTTGTTTGAAAGAACCGAGTACAGACTACTCACAAACAACAGCATAACCGGCCCACGGCGGCTCAATGCTTGCTGGCCAGATATCTTCAGGACAGGAGGTGTGGACGCCGCCGCAAACAGAAATGGAAAGCCGTATTTTTTCAAGGGTAAGTACTGGCTCACAGTACGTTCAAGAAATCTTGCCCAAATTTGAAAATCTGTACCTGAGTAGCCGTTCGGTGTGAGTTGTTGAAATTTGCCAAGCAACCTTTTAATAAGCCCGTGTAATCATTCTTTTTTTTTTTTAAATGCAAACAAACATCTGGTTTTCATTTGGTCGTATTTGAGGTACATAAACCGTTCAGAAAAAACAATGGCAAACTACTGAGCACAAAACTGTATAACTGAAAACGACAAACCAGCAACAAATATTGATGTGGATTTAGTTTGTGCTGTAAAATATGTGCAAATAACAGTTCTTGCATAACCGCTATTCTTTCATGCGAAGATGGCACCGATTAATGTTGATAATTTTGATAATAAACTGAAAATGTTGAATTAAGAATCGGCATCACAGCACGCAGTACATTCTTAAAAGCGCTCAGTCTCTATCTTCAACAGCAAGCGAAGAGTTCCGATTGCGATGGCACCAGTAACTTTCTGAATGTACATCCGTCTCGCCCTTTCCCTGAGTTTTAAGCGTCTACCAGATCCCCCTGGTAACTCCACTCAGCGCCATTCTCCTCAGACCGTGATGGTCTGTGCATTCGTACTGTTCACTAGCTCCAGAAAGACTCTTATAACAACTTCAATTTGCCACCAAGTGCTGCAGAGCCAGCCAGCCTATCTACCTGTTTGTTTCCCAATACATCGACACATCCTGGAGAAAGTATCCAAAGGGCGTTAACTAATGAAATGCAAAATGTTTCCTAAGCGGCAAATTTAGATGACATGGAGTAGTCGAACGGTTAACTCTTTAGGTAACAAAGAACGCACTATGCTTTGATTTATAATTACTTTAACTTTCCTCCGGTATCAGAAGGGTTAAAATTTGATCCTAAGGTTCGCGAAAATCTAAATTCAAATCCTCAGCAAGGTGGTAAATTTTTTTTTCCATATATCCTACTGGTGAACGCGAAGAAGAAGAAGATATCCTAACCTGCACAAGCCGTAGTGACTGACTGCATCAGCCATGCGGTCCTACTCCTCATGCTCATGACTGAAGACATCACCCACAATCATTTGCCGCCCCAAAAAGTGGCAAATACAAACAGTAATTACATGGGTATTTTCAGGGTGTAACTTCTGGACGCCCTCAGAAACAACAAGTTCCAATGGGTTTCTGCTCCGTGACCTGGCGACCATCAACTTACCGTGTGACCTTGACGCCGCCTGGGAGTCGGGACCTGAGCTAATTATTTCTAAAGTAGGTCGAATTAAGAGGTAACTTGTAACTGTACATCATTGGAGTCTATAGCTTAGAGGTTGCGAACATTGCTTTGTACTTCCGAAATTTCCGTTTGATGCCAGGTTGTGTGACTTTGCAGCAGATCGCTGTGTACGGATTTCGACAATGGTATCGCGAGCGGATCATTTAGTGGTTCTGGCAGACGACTGAAAGTAAAGTTGTCTGGTCAAACCATAAGCAGCAGGGTCGAGTATCGAAATCGCAAGCAGTAAAAGAAAAAAAATTGCGCGGGTTATTTTGTAAAGTCTTCTCTACACCTCATCACCTTGCGGACTGGCAAAGGATCTCCTAACAGCTAAACGAAAATAAATTAGATAGCAGCTAGCTGAAAGGAATGTAAATCTTCTTCTTGTAGCCCCTGCCTTGTGGCGTTGGTAGTCATGTCCCATCCATAACCTTATGCCTATTGTACTTTCAGTATACTCAGACACAGATGATTTTCATGCAATGATGTAAAACTGTCCAGCATCTTCTCTGTCAGTCTCCCTCTGCCTCCTTTCTTCTTCACTTTGCACAATGTCATGATGTACCCCACTTTTATCCTTCACTTATCACACCGTCATGATGTACCCCACTTTTATCCTTCACTTTTCCCACCGTCATGATGTACCTCACTTTTATCCTTCACTTTTTACACCGTCATGATGTACCCCACTTTTATCCTTCACTTTTTAAACCGTCATGATGTACCCTACTTTTATCCTTCACTTTTCACACCGTCATGATTCACCCCACTTTTCTCCTTCATTTTTTACACCGTCATGATATACCCCACTTTTATCCTTCACTTTTTACACCGTCATGATTCACCCCACTTTTCTCCTTCATTTTTTACACCGTCATGATTCACCCAACATTTCTCCTTCACTTTTCCCACCGTCATGATGTACCCCACTTTTATCCCTCACTTTTCCCACCGTCATGATGTACCCCACTTTTCTTCTTCACTTTTCACACCGTCATGATGTACCCCACTTTTCTCCTTCATTTTTTACACCGCCATGGTGTACCCCACTTTTCTCCTTCACTTTTCACACCGTAATGATGTACCCCACTTACTTCTTTACTTTTCACACCGTCATGATGTACCCCACTTTTCACCTTTACTTGTCACACCGTCATGATTTACCCCACTTTTCTCCTTCACTTTTCACACCGTCATGACGTACCCCACTTTTCTCGGTCTCATGACATCACCAGACATTGTAGATTGACCATTTCATATGTGGGCGATCGGTTTTCTTCCTAAGTAATTTCTTTCAAGACATCTTTATTACTAATTTTTTCTCTCTAGTATTTTCTCATAAAACAAAATTTTCTCCGCTTACAATTAATTTTTCACCCAACATCCAACTGTCCATGATTGACTTCCATTCATAAAGATCGAAATGTAAATATCAATTTTTTTAAAAATAATTCCGACGTCTTACAAATTAAAATGTTAATCTAATACGATATTTGCTGCTGTATAGGGGTTATAAAATCTGAAATTCATGGCTGGAGCAATTCTTTTGACAGACGGTCATGAGACTACATTAAACAAACGACAGGTAGATCTGAACGTTGCGGCTAGACCGCCTTCATCAGTATATGATATCAATATAAAATGCTACATTTACAAACAACAATACACACAATGCTTAAAGGATTCCTCTCCAATAAAATTTTACATGTCTGACCAGTTGAAGCTCTAAATGCACGCCTGTGAATAGAGGACATGAATACTACCCGGCAAAATATGGTTATTGTTGAATCCTAAACGGGTTGATAGTTACAACAACAAAATCATGGGTATATTATCTTTGTCTCGTCCATTCGTGTCTAATGACGCGTAGCAGGAGATACTGGGGCCTGGTGTCATCACCCAGGTTGGCCCACCTTCTGAGATTATTTAGGATGGCAACGGGCCAAAACAATCGTCGACTGAGGATCTCCTACTGATGACTGGAAGACTCCTGCTGTGTATGCTCCCCTGTGGAGTTTTTTTATTGTACACTCACAGGAGCTAAATATAGAACCCTTAAATGAGCCTTGTGTGTTTTGGGCTGTTTTGGTATACCCTGTCTAAGCAAAAAATGTACAAGACAGATATCAGTTTGACTGCTGCGCAGGAAAAAATCCAGGCATACATGGTGCGTCGTTTGGAACTGAGAGATTTGAAGTAGTTGTTTATATATTTCATACGATTGATTGGCAGCTTTCCGTCTTTCCAAACGAAAGTGTTATAAAGCGCTATGAGGAGACAAGGGACTCACAACCCATGGCGATGGTGAGTGTGACTAGCAAGACACGCCCGCGTTAAAAAAAGGCTTCTACAAATAAAGCATAAGAATACAGGACAGTTGTTGTCAACATTTGTGTTTAGTTTGCTTGTTCTCAGACGCTCAGCACTCGTCCTGTCTGCAATCATTCTCATTCTCTTTCTGATGTGTCCTCTCCACACAACACGGCCCATGGCATTTTATTGCCACAAGTCTGCCCAGTACCTGTATCATTCATGTCCCGCTTGCACCCAATTTATATGGCAGTAGAGGCCGGCCTCGACATCTTCTACCCGTCTTTAATTCACCATAGAGGATGTCCTTAGGGACTCTTGACATCCTCCCTTCCCCACATATGACCCAGTCACCTGAGCCTTTGTAGACTGAGCATTGAGAAGACTGTTGTAATACCTGCTCTTTCCAATACTTCAGTGTTTGTGATCTTGTCCTGCCACTTAATGCCAAGTATTCTTCTTAGGCATCGCATGTGAAAGCGATTTAGCCGTTTTTCTCCTGGTGCGGATAAGCTGACCAAGTTTCAATACCATAAAACAGAGTGCTGAGAACACAAGCCTGATAGACAAGGGTTTTTGTTTCACTCTTGAGCATACGATGTCAAGTATATTATTTTATTTTTTTGCCATTCATCCTAGTATTATTTTTATTATTGTTTTTACTATTATTATTACGATCATCATCATCATCATTTTAATATGCTGGATGGCAAATATATATATATATATATATATATATATATATATATATATATATATATATATATATATATATATAGAGAGAGAGAGAGAGAGAGAGAGAGAGAGTAAAATGCTTGAAATAATACGAGACGTGTAAATGAATACTTAGTGAAAATTTGTTTACGTGGTTAAAGAGAGCATGTTGGTTCTCTTACATAATTATTTAAAGGTGAGGAATGGGAGCGCTAAACTCGTTCAATCGCCCCAAAAAGTTGAACTTGAAACTTCTAAATATGTGAGTCTAAAAGCGCTACCAATGCAACACCTTCAGATACAAATAGTTTCACATTTCTGCCATAATTAGTTAAAGTAAATTGGCTATGATATTTATACTATAAAACGGAAAATCCATGTTTCTTTCTGTCTGTATATTTCTCCGTCACAAGAACTCATCCCAGACGGTAACTAGTAGAGGGCAGATATTTGCAGCTGTAATTTTGGTTGCCATTTGCGAAAATTTTTTTACCTATGTCTGACAATTAAAACCTCAATTACTAAAAGTAAAAATTCACTTGACGGATAAGTTTTTTAAAAACGAATCTATATTTCGCTGTTATCTTCTTTCATTATATATAAAGCAAGAACATCATCTTACATCTGGATTGTTTAAAGGGCATATGCTGCGTTATTTGGTAGCAAAAGAGGTAAACTAAGAGGTATTTTCTTTCCAGGCAAACCAGTATTGGATTTGGGGCAGCAGTATGAGAGGACCGTTTCCTTTAAGCGGATACTTAAGTCTGTGTACATGGAATTGGGGATTTCCTTCGGCTGTGACTTTGCCTAATCCTTTAGTCTGCAATGGGGATGCCCGACTGTGCTTTCTAACCGTGGATAAGGTATGTGATATTTTTTAAACCAGTTTGTTGTGTTTAATGTGATAACTTTTGTCATAGATAACAATATGTTAGTGTTTTAAGTGACTGCTTCTGTCATGTACAAAGCTTGTTATATTTTGTGTAATTCAATCGGTCAAAAGTAGGATAAAGTGAATGTTCTATGAAGCTATTTCATTTCTATCAGACCTAAGACGCAATATTTATTATTTTATGTTATTTTATTTGTTATCACCAAAACAAGCTGTCATTTTAAAACTGTTTTAGCACTTTTCAGGACAGCGCAGACGATTTAGTAGGGGCGGGGGGGGGGGGGCGTAGAAAAAAAAAAGGGGAGCGGGAGATTCCGAGGCTGGTGATTTTGGGTCCCATGGCTAGTGCACTCGTCACGAACTGTGCACATTCGGATGAGTATGTGTGTGCATGTGTGTGTGTGTCTTTGTGTGGCCAGAAACAGCTTTTCTTATATGGGGGGGGGGGGGGGGGGGGGGGGTACCTCATATCTTCGGTACTAAACAGTAATCAGTTGCGGAACCATTTGTTGAGGTATATTTTTTTTATAGCTACTGCAATCGACAGTGTGTGGTTAGAACTGGCGCCTGTTTGCACACTAGTAGAATGCATGTTCGTCAATATGATTATTTCTCTGATAAATGTTGTATTATTTCGGCTCTTTAATACTTCGTTTTCTGCTTCTTTTTCTACCTTCATCCGAAGATGTAAATGTATTGTGCCCCATCTACAGCATGGCTGCGACATTTGCTCCTTTCGGATGAGGCCTTCGACTTCGTAGGTATTTTTTGAGTGGGTTATCCTTCTCTGTAAGAGTTGCGAGTCCGACTCGTAATTCCAACATGCCATGATCGAAATGTACTAGAAACAAAGTAGAGGAGGTATCTTGTAATGAAGGAAAGTGAAGAGATAATTATAAAAGATAATATGGAAATCTACTCCTTGAAATCTCTTCGACTCCGAACCTACAAGAGTTCTAACAATGGCGAGCGGAAGCCAAAACCCAACCTTAAGCTGCCTGAGTAACAAGAAAAAAAAAAGAGAAAAAGTTCGTTTATGCGGGGGTGAGATCAAAAAAAGTTCACCCTGACAGGAAATATTTTGTGTGACGTCTAGATCAGCAAAGCAACAAATACTAGACTAGGCACACTAGCTACAAGTCCTAATCTGAACTAAAAACAACTTGAACTATGATTACTGAATTGTACATCTGTTTATTTAACTTAAAAGAAAATTAGCGTGGTCCACAAATAACATTAATAAACAACCAACGTCCTCGACCAGAATCTAAAGCTATCATTAACTAACAATTAACTATGGTAATGACACCATACGCTTAGCGAAATTACCACCACGATGGCAAAAACAGAAACATTTTTAACATGTACGTTAAGCTTCAAAATCTAACCAGACCAACAAATCACTTATAGCTACCTGCCATCCTAGCAAGAATACAAAATGGAAATCAAATCTAACACCGCTGGAGAAATTTCAAATTTAACTATATAAACATACCATCATCGCGAACACGAGCCAGTCTAGCGTCGCTCGGCCGGTTCGATCTGACACACCTGTGCGTTGAGACTAAGTGCATTCAACAACGGCGGACAAGGCGTCTTGACCATGCTGTGCTGACCACAGAGCGACCGCAAAATAGGAGGCAAATACTGGGTGAGTCAGTTGGCCTTTTTATACCCAGTGGCCAGATTTTCCCCCATTTTACTGTCTAAAACTAAAAGCTGTTCCTGTGGTCTCTTTGTCATTTTTAAACCAGAAATCGTTAAATCAAAATCGTTGAGCTGCTAAACAGTAGTCTTTGTCGTTTTCCAACCTATCACAGAAACCAAAGGTATGAGGTATGCAGGTCGACGCAGCCTAAAATGGATACCATGGTTTATGCCCCTTGGGAAGTAAAGACGGACGGCGTAATGATGACCACATTACCGACCTAGTGCCGATAGGTCTGTAAAAATATGGGTGCTCTTCCCATATGCCCGATGCGCCTGAAGGCGCGAAAAGCGATCTTGACTTTACTTATTTTACTATTCTTCCAAGTGGCTCTTTAATGCAATTTTTTTTTTCTATTGGTGCAAATGTGTAGATCTCTAGGTAAAGAAATACTGGACATACCAAGAGAATAAATGGACAGAAAAATCACTAACAAGGAAACAAGTGGACACAGGAAACGAAGACGTCCAAGAGAAACAGTCAGATGAAAGTGATTTCGAGAAGATTACACAGGGTAGAACGGAAGATTACACAGGGTAGAGCGGAAGATTACACAGGATAGAACGGAAGATTACACAAGGTAGAATGGAAGATGACACAGGGTAGAACGGAAGATTATACAGGGTAGAACGGAAGATTACACAGGGTAGAAGGGAAGATGACACATGGTAGAAAGGAAGATTACACAAGGTAGAACGGAAGATTACACAGGGTAGAACGGAAGATTAGAGAGGGTAGAACGGAATTGAAGCATAAACTGCGACTCTTGGGGGAAGATTACACAGGGTAGAACGGAATGGAAGCATCAACTACGACTCTTGGGGGAAGCATAACGGCACGTGATGATAATGTTGATTTTTTCTTTGATTTTTTTTAAAAAGTGATTTACTGATTGAAGAATCGACATCATGTGACACCCGGCATACCCATAGGTGCTCCGTCTCACGCAGCAAACGTCTTAAGGAGTAGATGCTAACTGTTAGCACACTGATTATACACACGTCGGTGTCTTCGTCTCATTCGTTCCTCCTTGCCGGATCCACTCCTGATTCGACTTTCCCGCATTTTTACACGTTATTTTATCTAACCTCGTGTCTTTTAACGGCATTCTTTCATAAATGGTTTTCAGAATTTGAGAATGTCTGTTTTGTCCCGTACGAATGTACTGGTAACTATCGCTTTTGTAGACCATCCCCCCACCCCCACAAAAAATAAGCTCCCTCATTCACACGTGCATATCCCTAACTGTGTATCCACGAGAGATCTTGTAATGTTGAATTGTAAAACTTATAGCTCCAGAAGATTTAAATATTTTCCTGAACCAGCAGGCAAGAGGTCTAGTCACAGCATCATCATCATCAGGTGCCTGGCCGACTGGCATGGACGATCGCGTCTCTCCACAATCTGCGATCTCCTGCAGCATGTATCAGTTCGTGTGCTGACACTCCTCCATGCCATGCAACGACTGTCAAGAATCTTCTCTCACAGCATTTCCAAGAATTCCTCATCCCATAAATCTTCTTTAATAATTTTCATCTTCACCGCAGGTCACATTAGCTGGCTCCCATAATGCCGGGTCCGGTTTCTCTGGGCGGTTCGCGTCCTCTCCATGCTTCTACCAGAACCAAAACACGTCGGTTTTAGAACAACTGCGCTTTGGGATGAGGTACTTGGATGTCGATTCCTGCTGGTCCGAATGCGGTAAGTTACAAATTACTGTTGTCATTTGTCCGTTTTGAGTGCACATCTATTGAATGCCTCTTCCGAAACCAAGCAAAGATCATTCGAGACTCAGGGTATTAGGATTATCACTCTTGAAAATACTTTTAGCCAGTTCCTTGAGGAGATTATTTCTGTTAAACTGAAGGCTTTCTTTACGAAACGAAGGAGATCTTGCCCGGAGATCTGGACTGTTACCGGCCAGGGAAAGATACCTGGCCAAATGCGGCCGCATTTTGCTTCGATGTTTATGAGAGGTTCCAGAACAGACAGGAGACAGTGGGTGGCGATTCTTTACTTGGTAATGCCTACACTATAGTTAGATATGATATTTTGATATTTACGCTCACGGAGAACTGGTGTGTCCCAGCCTGGTGAACTGGATAGCATCTGTCCTGCATTCACGCAAAGTACTCTTCCGTCTGGCTACATTGATGTCAGAAGCATGCAATATCGCCCTTGGATTACCATATGGTTCTGCAATTTCACCATTGTTCTTTAATGCGTATACAAGCAGGATTGCAGAACTTTAAGAACCAGGATTTGGAAGGATATTGATATTTGCAGATGACGATCTTGCACATAGGCAGAGAAGCGACAGGCAACAGACAAAGTGACTGACTGTTGACAAAGTGGGGGATCGGTGTGCTGAAGTGGCTGCTGTCATAAACTTAGAAAAGGCGGCTGTTTCATTGTTCTCTCTGGACAATAGAATTGTAAGAGCTCATGTTCCGGGCCCCACGGGTATTGATAGAAACACCAAAAGAGAAAGCAAGCTAAGGTATCCGGGTATCACTTTCGGTAGAAACACCAAAAGAGAAAGCAAGCTGGGGTACCTGTATATCACTTTCGATAGAAACACCAAAAGAGAAAGCAAGCTAAGGTACCCGGGTATCACTTTCGATAGAAAAATCAAAAGAGAAAGCAAGCTGAAGTACCTGGATATCACTTTCGATAGAAACACCATAGGAGAAAGCAAGCTGAGGTACAAGGGTACCACTTTCGATGGAAACACCAAAAGAGAAAGCAATCGGAGATACCCGGGTATCACTTTCGATAGAAACACCAAAAGAGAAAGCAAGCTGAGGTACCTGGATATCACTTTCGATGGAAACACCAAAAGAGAAAGCAAGCTGAGGTACCCGGGTATCACTTTCGATAGAAGCATGTCCCTCAGGGATTATATCGGAATCAATTGCGGCGAAACGCCAACAAAGAATGTCGTTCACACTGTTCCAGCATTTGATTCTGTCAGTGATAGATTATGGACTATCTCATTTATGTGAATAATAGTCTTCTGTTATGGTTTGTGAATGACCATGTCTGGCACTGGTAGCATAGAGTGGGGATCAATATGCTTTGTGTAAGGTGTGTCTTTGTGTTGATTAGGGTTGTCTTGTGCTGTCAGAGAGAGAGAGAGAGAGAGAGAGAGAGAGAGAGAGAGAAAGAGAGAGAGGGAGAGGGGGGGGTGTCAGGCTAGCTGTTTCAATACTTGGCTTCAGTAATAATAATAACGGAAAAATTGTAATCGTCATCATCATCATGTATCGTGCTAGTAAGCGCAGGCCTTCATGTTTCACCATCTCACACTATCACCAGAATCACGGATCAGGTCAATGTTCTTGTCTCGCCCCATCCATCTGGCTATACCATTTATCTCTTTGCTTTCTTCTCAGTCTCTGTCCATCAATCTTGCCAGTTGCTCCAAAATTCTCCAGTTCATACCTTCTCATAATACGTTCACATATACATTTATACATATACACATATATGGCTGGCGTCCGTGGCTTGGGCATTGCGAGTCCGACCCGTAATTCTAACGTACCGCGATCGAATCTCACTGCTGGCTGCGTGGATCTTTTTGGTGGTATGGGACCCAGCCTAAAATGGCTACTAGGATGGATGTCCTGGGGAAGTAAAGACGGCCTCGGTAATGCTGACCTCATTACCCACCTAGTGCTGATTGGTCTGTAAAATTATGGGGTGCTTTTTCCACACGTCTGATGCGCGCAAGGCGTGAAAATGAATCTTTACTATATATTGACTTTTTACATCTAACTAATGACTATATAACAATATGTTTGAAATAATATGAAAGACAACAGAATCACATAAGCATTTTACTTCTGTACAAGCAAGCGAAAAAAAAAGGGGGAAGGGGGTGGGGAGGCAGCTTAGCCTTCTTAAAAAGGGGCGGGGGTAGGGGCTTTCCATCTGAAGTCGTTCTCTATGCATTCGGCTCAAGGGCCCTGAACCTGCAATGTTTTCATGGCGAACCTGCTGTATGAGGTTTACATACTGTAACCTGGAGCCTACGCTTACCGGCACCTTACATGTTAGGGATGATGAGATTGCCGCGGTCGTCACGTTCACTGCAATATGTGTTCAACAGTCGTAAACTCACACCGTACTGTAGTCGTATTTTTAAACGAGGTTTCGACTCGCACCATCAGCTAGATGTCTTGGCTGGCTGAACGGGTAGCCGGCAGAGTATTGTGTGGGGATGTCCCGAGTGCAGTCATGTCAGTTCGTTGAGTCACTTGTTCATTTGTTCATTGATTCGTAAACCACCTTAACCTTCTGCAAGCACCCAGACCTTAACTTGTAGATTACCTCCAACAGGAAACAACCTAGGGACCTGTCATAAACAGTTCTGTGCAGGGCTGTTGTGTTCCATGCTGGTGCAGATACGGACGTTTCTTGTTCAGGTACTGTCTAGCTGGCTGGCTCTTTAGTTGTCTGACCATCGCCTTGAATTCAGTGTGTGTTTATTGTTGCTGTTGTTGTTGTTATTTTGTTTTATGCTTTCCTCGTACAGTAAATGCCGTCTGGTGTTGGTAGGCATGGTAGTAATGATGGTGACGATGGTGATGATGATGATGATGAGGATTATGATGGTGATCATTATGATGGTGATGATGATGATGATGATGATGGTTATCATTATGATGGTGATGATAATGATGATGACGATGATAATGATGATGATAATGATGATGATAATTATGATGATGATGATTATGATGATGATGATGATGATGATGATGATGATGGTGATGATGGTGGTGATGATAGTGGTGATGATGATGATGATGGTGATGATATTGATGGTGATAAGGCTGATGATGATGGTGATGATGGTGATGATGGTGATGATGATGCTAATGATGACGATGGTGATGATGAAGATGATGAGGATGATGACGGTGATGACGATCTTCACTGACGCCAGTAAGTTTGTGCGCTAAATTAAACAAGTTATTATATTGTCTCTTTCTTCAAGATCACTGGTTGTGAACTCCATCGGAAAGTTCTGGTTGTTTGTCCACTTCTGGACTTTGGTCCTGTTCCAGAACTTGACTTGTGAGTGCGCATCCATTTTACAGGTGTGATTTATTTGTATTCAGACTGTTGGTTTCTTGTCTTTTTTTCTGGTGCACCCCGAACTCCGAAGGAAACTATGAAAAAGCTTTTGACAGCATTAATATTGAATCTCTGGAAACTGACTGGGTATCATAGGATCCTACAAAAAGACATGGATGTCTTTTTGTCGCCTTTCCTTTATGATTTGATTTGATTCAAGAACCGACATCACAGCACTCGGGGCATTCCCATAAGCGCTCTGTCCCCTTTTCAGCAGCCAGCGAAGAGTTCGCATACTAATGGTGCCCGTAGCATTCTGACTAAACGTCCGTCTTGCCTTTCCTCTGAGCCTCGAGCATCTGCTAGAACCTCTCGTCACTCCGCCTTCATCAATCTCACCAGACTGTGGTGATCCATCTGCTCCTCTTAACTGTACACGCTCTCCCATAAGGCACTAACCCCGTCTGCCTTATCATGCATCAATATTCCACCAAGTTGTACGTAGCCAGCCAGTCTTTCCGTCTGTTCCTTTGCCAACACACCAGCGTACCTCGGTGAAAAATCCAGACAATACTCCCCCCCCCCCCCCCTGTCCTCCACAGCGAGGCATGCCACTCTGCACGAAGCATGTCTATCCTGATCTTCCTCAGCATGCTTTCTGAATCAGTTACAATCACGATGTGTGTGTGTGTGTGTGTGTGTGTGTCGTGTTCTCTAGCCAACGGAAAGCTTTCTTTTCTGTTTTTCTCACGGAATCAGATGCAAGATAAATTAAATATACTTCATGCGAGACCACAACAACTAGGTCTGAAAATCCATAAGGGAAGTACAAAGATAATGAGAATAAATCAGGCAAGTAGTAATGTAAGTAAAAAAAAAAAGGGGGAAGGATTCCCTTTCACGCCCTTTGGCGCATCGGGCAAATGGAAAGAGCCCCAATATTTTTACAGACCAATCGCCACCACTAGGTGGGTAATGTGGTCCAGGGGCATAGAAATAAAGGGATTTTAAAAATCACACACGGAGAAGGGAGCTAGAAAGCTAAGTTTTAAAAAAAAAGGGGGGGGGGCGGGGAGGAGGATATGGGAAGAGCTGCCTGCAATAGCGAAAGATAGAACGACTTGGCCTGAGTTGGCTGAGGGCCTATGCGCCACTTGAAAAATCAGAAGAAGAAAACTTGGTCTATTGATCCGACACGCGCACACACGCACACACACATACACACATACGCGCGCGCGCGCACACACACACACGCCCACATACACACAAATGGGGGTCCAAGAACTCATACGGGGTTTTTGTATTGTCAAAGTACTTCTCCCATACGGTTATTATGCCAAATACTTTCTATCAGTCATTCATTATAGTAATCAACGTACTCCACAAGAGCCTCCGTGGTGTAGTGGCTAGAAGTTCGGGTCCTGGCAGTGCTCAACTTTTTTCAAAAATTGACCTTGGCTCCCAGGTCGATCCAACCTTGAATGGGTATAGGGTACAAGCCCTGGAAGTAAAGGCGGCCGGCGGGATGCTGACCACAACATCACCAAACAAGTGCCTGTTAGTCTATAAAATATAGGTCTAGCCCTATATGCCCAATACGCCTCAAGGCATGGAAAAGGGTCCTTTACTTTACATGGAACAATCAGTAGAGGTACATCTGAGTGGCTGCTGAATGGGAGGACTGAGCACTAATAGGAACGCCCAATGAGCAGTAACGTCATCTGTGATAGCAGAACACATCATAAGCTGTTAACTTAATAACTTTAGGCGACACAAGAAAGTTAACATAACAAAATGTCTGAGATAAGGAAGTTTAAACACAACAAATTTCATGCTTTCATCTGCCTGAAAAACGAGTAACCAGCTGTTTGAATACACACACACACACACACAAAAAGTCTGATCTGTAAAGAAGGATGGGTATGCAAAGCTCAAGCTCTACCAGAACAAGACTAAGTCCAGAAGTGGACGAACAACCAGAACTTTACAACCGGTCAAGGTGAAGAAGAAGGTCTAGAACAATCATGTAATATTGAACAGTAACAACTGATACAAACACTGTGATATATCTGTCCAGAATCCAACAGAAATTGTGATGGTCAACTTCAACCATGACATGACGGACCGTGACCGAGTCATACCTGAGCTGGTCAGACAGGTCAGTTCAGAGATGTTTTTCTCTCAAGAGCATCGTAGCCTGGGGTCGTTTAAGCAACTTTAGCAACCCGTCTCCCCAGCCCCACCTCACCTCTTTCCCTTAGCTCCTGTCCTCCTAAAATAGTACGAGGGTTAAACTTTCCCTGCCAGAGACAATGCACGTAATTTCTCTAAATCTGTGTTAATCACCATCATCTAGTGCGATCTGCAACGGCATGTATATGTTCGTGTGTTCGTCTGTTGACACCGCTCCAAGCCACGAAAAAGGCTGCCAAGAATCTTCTCAGTCTGTCTTCCTCTTTTTCTTTTGTCACTGACCTTTCCAGTGGACACAACATGTTCTATTTTCCCTCTTCTCATAACGTGACCAAAAAATGATGCCTGTCTCTTTCTGATGTTTCATTCTAATTTATGATCGAGCCCTCGCCTCTTTCATGACATCTGGGTTGCTCCCAGTCCATCTCATAGAGCATGGAAAGAAGGAAAGGTGAAAATTATGATGATTAAGCATGACGTTCCTTGAGGCCCATGACCAGTTATCTTTGTGTCGACGCCCCTCCCCCCCCCCCCCCCACTCCCCCGTTTCAACCCCGTGTACACTCGTGTAGTTAACTTTTGTGTTTTTAACAAAGATGGCATCAACGATCCTGAGATCCAATGATCTCACTGTGGCGAGCTTCTTGTAACGCGAACTGGTTCAGTTGGTCACACTGTCATCAGCAAAGCCTTTTGGCTAAGACAATGTCTTCTCCGGATATCTGGAGAAAGCCTTGGCTAAGATCTCGGTGAACCTCTGTTGCACTGTGTCTAGCCAGAATGACCGGGTCGTTCATAGACCAAACCCCGACCTCCTGCAGCTTTTAAGGTTCTTAATTTATAACGTACTCTAAACACGAAATCCCCGTGGGAAATCCACAGCTGACCTGACAGTCCATTATTTCAAGGGGTGGAAGTGTGCTGTTGTGTGGTGCTTTTTTTTTTTTTTTAGTGTTCATCTAGTGTCTTCTAATGCTAACCCTAACCCTAACCCTAAAATTGGCTGTAGATAAATCGCGAGAAACTACAACCTGAACACCCTAGAATTTATTGGGAATGTCTCCCGTGACGTTGTCGTGACGTCAGGGGTAAGTTATAAATTAAGTACCGCTTTTAATTCTACTACCTGAGGTCAGGACCAAACTCTCAAACAGGGCAATCCTACACCGGTAGAAACCGAACAAAAACCAAGCATTCCCCTGTTCGGTCTGGATGGCTGACGCATGACCTACTTACCAAAGTACCATCTTTCAGGGAGTCTGAATGCCAGGCTGGCGTTTGGGGGTACCAACCTGGTGCTCTCTAATCGGCCAGGAGACCACTAACTCAGATTAATATTTCCAGCTATCTCTGGTGAAGTCTTTTGCAGTTAACAATTTGGTTTCGGTTTTCTTTTTCCAGCACGATCATCGTCATCAAGTAACTGACAATCCATGTGTGCATGTCGGAACCCCATCCATGGGGAAATAGGGATGGTTTTTTTTTTTTTTTCTACAGCATTCCGAGCCATTGAAGTTCATTGCTGCAGATAATGCCCGCCTCCATTAATCTCTCTGGCTGGCCTTCTCTTTCCAGTTGGTGACACAAGTGTTTCTAAGGATGGGTTTACTGCTACTTAGCGATAAAACCCGCTGACACAAAGTGCCACCGTTCGGATGAGGATCACCAGTGGAGAGGTCCCAGAAACCCTGTTGAACCGTTAGTTTACATTAGGGTCCCCGGCATCATCCAAGGTGGGGCTTGAAAATAACAACAAAGTCGTCTCTCATGGGACAGGGATTTTGTTACAAGCAACTTGACAAGTTTGTCGTTAAAAGCCAACTCGAATGTGTTGGTCTGAAAGACAAATGTGTCATACTGTTGTAAATCACAACACAACATGCCAACGCTCTTTTAAGAAGAAGAAGAATAGTAGTAGATTTTGCCCCACCAGGACATTACACAAGCGATAAGCACCCGATGACACAACGTACCACCATGTGGATGAGGATCACCCGTGGAGAGGTCCAGGAAACAGTGTTCAGCTTTAGACCATATTTATGGCCGGGCTATATTGCGGCCCCTGGCAAGAGCCAGTGTAATGCTTCAAATAACGAAAAATTGCATCTCACAAGATTATCGGGGCACCTGCAAGAGTCATGAAGGTGCTTCAAAATAATGAGAACTTGCATCCTACAAAGAGATGACTTGTTAATTGATAAGAAGAAGAAGAACAACAACAAGAACAACAAGAAGAACAAGAACGAGAAGAAGAAGAAGAAGAAGAAGAAGAAGAAGAAGAAGAAGAAGAAGAAGAAGAAGAAGAAGAAGAAGAAGAAGAAGAAGAAGAAGAAGAAGAAGAAGAAGAAGAAGAAGAAGAAGAAGAAAAGAAGAAGAAGAACAATAACAAGAAGAAGAAGAACAAGAACAAGAATTACTGATTCCAAGTGTTGTTCTTCGCACAATTATTATCTCGCTTTTACAGATAGAAGAAGTGTTGTCTCCCTTTCTAAACAGTCACTTTCGTGAGACAGGAGATTGGCCAACTCTAGGACAGGCTGTCAGGTCCGGAAAGCGACTTTTCGTTATAATCACCAAAGAGGTAAACTATTCGAATGGAAGCTCATACATGGAATAAGTTTATACCAAAGTCAAAACACATCAGCTACCGTATTTTCCCGAAAACATTCACATGAAAATGAACTCTCAGATTATTTTCCCGACTGCTCTTAATATAAGCCCTACACCAAACATAAGCCCTAGTTAAGAACATCTTCTAAACTGACAAATTTCTTTCGATCGTTAGAACACACGACGGACGTGTTGTTTCACAAACTAATGGTTGTATTAATAAAAAATTAAAAAAATAATATTATGGAACAAATGTAAATAAATGTTTGTAATTGAATAAATGTAGATGTTTGTATATGAAAACAAAAAGGCAGACCATAAAAAATAAAAGCAGCCCTAATGCTTGTTTTTAGTGCATTATCATGATCACCGGGGGGTAACACCAGGGGGTAACACCGTTCAACCAGCATCACAGAAGGGGGAGCTTTAGGTTATAATTGTGACTAGGTTATGTGCGTCACATAAAATGTCTTAGCATTGCACGACAATAAGAGCCATAAAATGCTATTAACGGTGACAGACCGAAATATTGTCCCGACCTTCGACGAAGTCGTCCACCGGCGAGTCAATGGGCGACCCAGTCGCCGATGTGTGCACATTTTACCTGTGTTAACCTGTCTATTTATAAAGACTTGTTGAAACTTTCGTTTTTTTTTTTATTCATGTGTCGCTCCTAATGCTCTTTACAAATATTTATTGTCTTAGGGATGCATTATTTAATAATGGAACCTAAGTTTATATTATGAACACAAATAATATCCAATTAAAGGGTTATTTTATAACAACTGTGATAGAAGCGCTTTCTTCCTCAGCATCACCCGCAAATCTCATCATAACCATCTTCCTTCTCCTTCTCCCTTCTTCTTCTCCTGCTTCTCGTCCTCTTCTTTCTTTCGTCTCCTGATAGAGCAGAGGTCTTGAACAAAATGTCAACTACACTTCAAGGAACTTTGAGAGGTAGTCGAAGAAAAGGGGGCTAAGGAAGAATCTGCATTGACAACATCAAGAAATGGACAGGGCTAAATTATTATGCAATTTTTTTTATGGAGGTGGAGGCAGTCACTGCTGCCTTCCTCTGGCTTGAGAATCAGCTGTACGCACATGTCGTCATTGTAACTGACAGAGCATACTGGGAAAGGTGGAGACAGACATGTTCCATGCAGAGTGGCAAGCATCACTTAAGAGGTCCAGGGTAGTTAGCATCCTTTGTATATTTTCTCCAGGTTATGCCGGTGTGTTGGGAAATGAACAGGCAGACAGACTGGCCAGTTCTGCACGACTTGGTGGGGAACTGATGTATGACAAGCTGGATGTTGTGAGGGCCCTTTGGGAGCGAGTGAACAGTGCCGAGGAACAGCTAGATCATTACGGTCTGAGGAGAATGGCACTGCAAGGAGTTACAAGGGGATCTGGTCGACGCTCGACCCTCAGTGGAAAGGCGAGACGGATATACGATCAGACAGTTACTGGTACCATCGGAATTTCAACTCCTCGCTTGCTGCTAAAGATGGGGACGGAGCCCTTATGGGAATGTACCAAGTGCTGTGATGTCGATTTTTAATTCAACATTCAACACTTTTTTCAGCGAGCGGAAAGCAGAGAAATTTGGTGGGTTTTGTGTTCTTATGATTCACCTCCGCGACTCTGACGGAGTCAAAGGTTATGTGTGAGTTGAAAACTTTGTACCAATCTTAGGCTGGGTCGACCTGTGAGACACGTTCGCAAAGGAAAGGGGGGGGGGGGGGCTTTATGTGGATTCGAAGTCGAGATCTTCGCGGGAGGGGGGTTGATGATAGAAATATAGATCTACACCACAACAGCTACCATAATGGCCTTGTTGCTTCTGACAGGTAATATACCACAGCATTCACTCGCAGAAACGATGGATCGTCGATGAGAGATATCTGGGGAGTACCTACAAGCTGATCCTCGTTTTCGGAGACTGCTCTAGTGTGGTCAGCTCCACCAGGGACAAGTGTAGGCAGCTCGCTGAACGCTCACTGCTGGAGGTCACCGTGATTGGTGGGTTTGGTGCCTGCGTCGATGAAATGATGACCATATGTGACGACTTTCTGTTTAGCAGTTTAGAGGTAGGTCTTCTCTCGTGTTTGATTGGCTGGGTGAATGGCTGGACGAGTGGATAGCTAGATCTGATTGGCTGGCTATGTGAATGGTTGGACCAGTGAATAGCTAGATCTGACTGGCTCACTGGGTGAATGGCTGGACAAGTGGATAGCTAGATCTGATTGGTTGGTTGGTGAACAGTTTAATATTTTTTTTTTTTTTTTTAGTTGTGTAGTTAGTAGGTTTCTTTGTCACAGTTGTAAAGACACGTTCTGAATATTGTGAGTTTGATTTCGGGCTCAGTCTTTCAATTAGTGTGGGTTTGTGTTTCGAAGAGTCCTGGAGTCGCTTCTGAAGCCATTGAGGTTTTGCTTTGTACAAACCTTTCGCTGACGACCAACCTTTCTGCGGAAAGATGCTATGGTATAATACAGTAAACCCCGGGCAATGAAGTCGATCGCCTCGCCTGTAATCACCTTTATAGTGTATTATATGGTTGTTAGTTATTTGCCTGGTTAGTTTGTCTAATGGCTAGCGGTTTGTGAAAGGAAATTGTGACATTTGTTATGGCCAAAATATTACACTGTCCGAGATAAGATGTTAGCCATTTTTCCTCGAAGTTTTCAGATCTCTTAGAATGTCAATATTTATGTTATTTGTCCATTGTATTCTAAGAATCTTTCTCTAGTATTTCAGCTCAAAATCTATGATATTTTTCCGTAAACATGGTGAGATAGTCCGCGACTCACAGCCGTGTGCTGATAAAGTGAAAATGCGTACTTTTTGTTTCCATTGTATCCTTTTTTTTAAAATTATGTAATGAATTCTTTCAGACATGTATGCAGTTTGCGACAATATTATTTGGAATCGTATCCCCTTCATGACTTGTGGATTGTGAGCAGGACGGATATTGTGTAATCAGAATTCATTTCTATAACATTAATTTCCTGTTGAGAGAAACGGGCGGCTTACTAGAGTGCCTGGGGGCCATGACGTCACTTCTAGTAACCAATAACAACAGTTTTCCAACGTTACGTTCTAGGCATGCTCCGACTTGAGAATCAGAGCTCAGAAAGCTCCCAACATACTACTTGTTGACTATCCAGCCGTCTCTCCGCCGCTCCGGAATGTTGTGGCCGCAGTTCGTCAACAGAACGCCAGAAATCTGTTCGCGTTTCGAGATACATGTCGCGCCAGACTGGATGCAGCAGCTAATATAAACATGGGAAGTAGCCCTGTTTTCTTTTCAGACAAAAGGTGGGGACAATTTTTTATTTAAAAACTACTGTATACACTGGCTCATCGAGAATGTTTGCATGGATTTGAAACTATTATAATTTTTTACGCATCATCATCATCACTTGCCCTGATGACTGGCTTAGACGTTCATGCATCTCTACAGCTCTTGGTCACTTGTTCTCTGGATCAATTCCACTGATGATATCCCTCCGTGTCACCATGACAATCCATCCGTCAGCTTCTTTCTGCATCTACCTCTTCTACCGTTGATCTTCCCAGGCGTCACAGTATTCTCCAAATCCCTACTCCACTCTTTCCTCATGGTATGACCCCACAACAGTGCTTGTATGTCGCTTATAAAAAAAAAAGTAAAGATCACTTTTCACGTCTTTAGGCGTATCGGGCACATGGGAAGAACACTCATATTTTTACAGACCATCGGCACTCGGTAGGTAATGTGGTCATCATTACGCCGGCCGTCTTTTCTTCCCCATAACAGCTATCCTGATATTCCTTTTAGACTGGGTCGACCTGCGACGCCCCATACCATAAAAAAAATTCACGCAGCCAGTAGTGGGTTTCGACCCCGGTTCGTTGGAATTACGAGTCGGGCTTGCAACGCTTCCCTGATAGCTGTACATACATTGATCTTTTCTCATTAGCTTATTTCAAGCAGTCCTCGTTAGTTACTCTGTCGGTCCAAGGGATTCTTAACATTCGTCTAAGGAACCACATTTCCGTGGCCTCCAAGTTCTTTCCATTTTGTGCATTCACATCTCATGATTCACTACCATGCAACAATATAGGTTCTACAAAACATTTGAGTAATCTCTTTGAGACATTCAAAGCGAGGGACCTGTTGCACAAGATGTTCTCAATTATGTTATATACAGCCTTAGCCTGACCTATTTAATGAATATACAGGTGTAGAGTTTTTAAATATTCCGAAAAGTTAACTGATTTAGATTTACCCTAGTACACTTAAGGATGTAGTTCAGGTGATGTCTATATGGTATTCGATCTCCTGCCACGTCTTATTAATCGTGCCTAGAGTTTTAATAGTTCACATTCTTGCAGCCACTTTCTCTATAAGATGCTGAAGGTTTCTTCTTAGTGCCGCTTGGTGTCTTATGGTCATATAAGATCACACGGAACTTTAATGTTCTCTGAACATTTTTAAGACACCAAACATATACAACCATCAAATCGCCTTTTATAATAGTAAAGTAAAGGACTCTTTTCCACGCCTTTCAGGCGCATTGGGTATATAGGGCTAGACCTATATTTATAGACCAATCGGCACTTGGTGGTTGATGTGGTCAGCACCACGCCGCCGCCTTTACTTCCCGGGACTGCACGCGGTACCCACTCAAGACTGGGTAGACCTGAGAGCTAAGGTGATTTTTGAAAAAAAAAGTCTGGCTCCGCCAGGGAGCGAACCCACGACCTTCCGATCCGCGGCGAGCGTCTAGCCGCTTCGCCACGGCGACTCCCACGCCAAACAATAACATCCATTAAACGCGCCTGTTATAATAGCAGTTTAAAATCCCGGCAAACATTCTCGATGACCCTCTATATTTTCTTCTGGAAATTGTTCGTTTTGCCTTCAGTAGTTGGTTTCGCTTAGTAAGGCATCCGTTTAATGTTAGGTGCTTGTTTTGTTTTCTTTTTTTTTTTTTTTTTAACTTTTACAATTTCTTACTGAAAGATTAACACAAAAACTGAAGAATAACAACAACAACACCCCCCCCCCCCCCCCCCCCCCTTCCTCCAAAACGACAGGGATGCGAATTCATCAAAATAAAAGCACGAAAACTCGGTAGAACAAAAACACTCTAATTTATTTGTGTATCTTTTATATGACCTAGCAGAACCAATCCCGCCGTTGAAGAGCACTGTCTAGATCTTTTCTCCGGGTCATGCCAGTGAGGTCATAAACGAAAGGGCGGACAGACTGGCCGGCTCTGCAAAACTTGTCTGATGCAGACCTAATTAATGCCTCATGGGAGCAGGTGGGCAATTCGAAATAGCACATGGAAATCATCACAGTGTGGGGACAGTGATGCAGCTATGAATGGCAAGAGGATCTGGCCGATACTCCACGCTCAGAGGAAAAGCAAGACGAACATATAATCAGGCAGCTACTGGCACCATTAGTATTGGAACTCTGCGCTGGCTGCTGAGGATGGGAATGAAGCGCATATGGGAATGCCCTGAGTGCTGTGATGTCGGTTCTTGAATTAAATCAACTCAGCTACCGTGCATACAAGTTCTGTCTTACGGTTTTGTTATATGTTATTGTTTTCGAAACATTTTTATTATTATTTTCTTAAACAAGACTTAGTGCGGCCCCCTCCCCAAAGTGAAAAGGTTGAGAAGAATTAATCAATCCTCATCGCGCCCAGCGGCACATAAGGCAGAGACAAACAGTCGCCACTCAGTTCGATCCTGAGCCATCTTCTCTATCTCCAGTTCGGCCTCAAAGGTTCGTCTCCATCTACTTCTGGGCCTACTTCTTCTTCGCTGTCCTTGTGGTGTCCATTACATTTCCTGTCTCGGCCAACTCTCTTTCTTCACACTGTCCAATCCACCTCCATCTTCGTTTTTTTTTATTTTTTTTTATTTCTAAATGTACATCTTCTAAGTCTGTCATTTGTTGTTATCTATAATTGTTGATTTTATTTACCCTTGCGAACCCCAACAATCTTCTCAGAATCCTTCCCTCAAAACCTCTGAGCATGCGCTCTGTCTCTCTGTATGTTTTCCAAGTTTCTGTTCCGTAGAGGAGAACTGTCCTAACGCATGTTTTTAGCACAAACTCCGCCATAATGAGTGTGGTGGGAAAAGGGAAATAATATTCTCCCTGAAATTAAAACCCTAAATTTCGGGCAAAACGACTTTGATGTAGCTGCATTTGACAGCGTTTTCGCCCCCAGGACAACCGCTGAACATGTCCGTGCATTAAAATGACTGCGGAAAGCCAGTACTGTTGCCTTCAATCGTCAAATTATCAATATATTCCCGGTCTTTTGTGCGTTCACAGGGTCCTTTATTTCAGTGAACAGGCCTGGGCTCAGAAAGGAGTCGAAGCCTTGGACTCTTTCAGCCCTGATCTGCCTTCCAACATTGATAGCGCTATCTCTGGGCGGTACTGGGGCCAAAACAGCAAGACCTACCTCTTCAAGGGATGTAACTACTGGGTTCTAGAAAATAGAGTTGCCTCTGGACCACTTGCCATCAATGGGACTTTCCCCGGCCTGGGGTGTGACATACAAGCTGCTGTCGGCATTGACAGCACCGCCTACTTTTTCAAAGGTTACGTTATTTTACTACTTTTTTTCGTCCCCATGTAGGATGCAATTTTTCGTAATCTGAAATCTGCCGGGGGTCCTGAAGAATATAGCCGGGCAATAAATATGGCCAAATGATTAAAAGGGATTTACGGGACCTCTCCGTGGGTGATCTTCCTCCGCATGGTGGCACTTTGTGTCACCGGGCGTTTATCGCTTGTGTGATGTCCTGGTGGGGTACAACTAGAGAGAGAGAGAGAGAGAGATAGAGAGAGTTATGGCATATTTTTAGAGACACATGCACGCATACACACGTACCGACAGATAAGCAGACAGACAGAAGTACACATATGTACCTACAAATACATTCGCACGCTTTCACACTGACAAACATATTCACACACACAAAACACACACACACAGACAAGGGATTACCCCCCCCCCCCCCCCCCAAAAAAAAAAAGCCATTATAAGGACAAGCACTATGTTAAAGTGCGTTGTTCGTCAAAAAAACGACATTTGAGCTGCGTCCGTGGCTTAGGCGTTGCGAGTCCTACTCATAATACCAACGCACCGAGATCGAAACCCACTGCTGCTGCGTGGATTTTTATCATGGTATGGGGCGTCGCAGGTCGACCCAGCCTAAAATTGATACCAGGATGTGTCCGGAGGAAGTAAAGACGGCCGACGTTGTACGGACCACATTACCCACATAGTGCTAATAGGTTTGTAAAAATGTGGGTGCTTTTCCCATATGCCCGATACGCCTTAAGGCGTGAAAATGGATCTTTACTTACTTCAATAAAACTTGTCAATTGTAATTTTTGCCACCCCCATTCCCTTTTCAATTCTGCTTGCAGGCTGCAACTACTGGACATACAAACAAAGCCTGGAGGTTACTGGACCCAATTCAATAGCCGATAATTTTCCAGGGGTCCCGTGTCACATCAGTGCAGCTTTGAACCTTGATGGCACGGTCTATTTCTTCCAGAACAACAATAACAGTGGAACCTACTGGACGTACAAGGATTCTCAGCTTACCCAGGGAAACAGTATTCTTGACTGGAATATCGATCCAGTAGTTTGTGAGGATTAGTATTTATGATATGACTGAAGAGATAGTCCAAGACTCACATACGTATGTTACTACAGGGAAGATGCATGCTCTCAAATTTCTAATTTTGAACTCCTTGCTGGTGCTTAACTATAGACTTTTAATGACCATAGACCATTTATAACAGTTAGTGAAATTATTACATTTTTATAATAAAAATTTAAAAAAAGTGATTCGGTAGCTTGTGAGATGCATTCTGTGTATATCAACAAATATCTACTCGGATGAGCAGGAATGCCAGCAATGTGCTTTCTGCTGGACCAAAGACACATTGACTTAGTTGGGACATGACTCACGCGCGGGGAGGACGGTTGTTTTCCAAAGGATCTATTGTATTGTGAACCGGAAACAGTGAAAAGATCTGCAGCGAGGTCAAGGTCAAGGTCACACTGTAAGCACACCTGCAAACATGACCTGGAGGATATCAACAATGACACAAGATACTTTGGGAGAGA